TTGATTTATGATCATGGATCAAATATTTTTCATCTGATAATTTTGATGTGCGGTATTGATATGTTCAAATTACACCTCCCTAAAGAAGTATAAGCGATCGTTGTCAAATAAAGAACCAACTTGTAGGTTTGGGTCGATCCCACGAGAAATATGGTTCAGACATAAACTTAACTCACTATTATATCCGTTTAGTCAAACTATTTCCGAGACAAGTAAATAAAGGGGGGGGGGGGTTTATGAAACAAATAACTGATTGTTGTTTAAGTGACAAGTGAGCAAGATTTAAACTTCAAGTTATCAATATGAGAAAGAAACTAGGGTGTATGTGTTCTCCATAAGCTCTTAACGCGGTAATCCTAATAATAGTAATTCTTTCCTAGTGTTTTACATGCAACGTTGGTAAGATAGGTATCCCTAAGTGATTGGTCCTTCAAATAGGGAATTTCACCCCGCACCTTGGTCCGGCTATGTGTGTATAGCTTACTTACCCTTACCTTTCCCTCATACTAGACATCACATCAATGTATGGCTTAGTTTTCACCCTCGCACCAATTGACATTAGGCTATTAGATAGTATCACACTAAATCTATGTTGATAATTCTTTTCTTATTAACTACCTCCTTGGTCCGGCAAGTAGAAAGAAGGCAAGTTCTAACTCGTACACTTGTTAAAAAGACTTCTAAGAGAAAGAATTACCAATACATGCATAAACACTATTCAAGAATTACTTAGTTATTATTCATACGTTGTTAATTGCTCATGGTTCCCACAACCCTAGTTGTGGATTTAGTTACTCATGCTTGAAAGAACACAATTCATGTTTTGATAATAAGAATTCATGAACCTACGTTTAGAGTAGAAGAAACCCGAAATCTCAAACTGAATATCAAAGAAAAAATCTTATAAATCGAAATTCGGAAATCAAATTGCAAAGTTTGAAAGTTAATTCAACAAAATATCAAGAACTAAAAGTGAACAGTAATGTCTAACCCCTAAAAATGAGGTTTACATACACTATTTATAGAAAAACATGTCCTAAACAAAAAGGAAACAAAATAAGGAAATAAACTTTTGGGACGCAACTTTGATCGACGACTCGACCTACGGACCGTAGGTCAACCTACGGTCCGTAGGTCCCCTCCGTTGGTCAACAGTTAGAACTTTTCAGCAGAGGCTGGACCCTTCAACTCCCAGTTCATCAATGACGGAAGTGCACGATGGACCGTAGGTGGACCTATGGTCTGTGGGTCCTCTTCCGTGGCTTCACACTTAGGAATTTCATCAGGTACTGGAACTTCAACTCTCTGAACACCTTTTACGGATGTGTAGGACGGCCCATAGGTCGACTTACGTTCCGTGGATCGCTTCGTAGTTCCACAGTTGGTCAGACTTCCCTGATGCTCCTATCTACGCCTACCCATCGACGGACCATCACAGGACTTACGGTCCGTAGGTCCCTCCGCGGATGGCCACTTTTGCAAAATTTTAGTTGTCATCTCACTTAACCGCGTCAAAGCCTATTTCCTGTGTGGGTGGCCACTTCTGCAAAATTTCAGTTGTCATCTCACTCAACCGCGTCAAAGCCTATTTCCAGCAAACATAACACATAAAACATTATTTTCAATACAAAATGGCCCTAGACACACACAACTCTTAAGTGAAATTTATTAAAAATACCGTAAACTCACGGTGTATCAGCACCCTCAACTTAAATATGTTGTTTGTCCTCAAGCGACACACTAACACTCTAAACGACACTTGTGTAGAAGCAGACATACAAACTCAAGCAATCACGTGGCCATTTCAATCCATTCCCTTTTCTCAGTGCAAATCTTTTCTCTTAGACTCAACAAGCCAACTCATATGTATCAAAACATGACATAGATCGACCAACATACACCACATCATACATCATTCACAATCACCAAGGTATCAATTTTTCAACAATGTAACTAGTGCCCTCACTTTATAAGAAATCCTTTTTCACTCACAAGAGATATGACTTTCAAGTTTTTAGGATTCGTTCAACACTCATGCTCAGAAGTGACTTCAAGTACAGTTAGTGCTCAATACCATAGCCTTGTTCGTATTTTCACTGCTTAGACTCTTCAAACTAGTTTCTAGGATCACTATAGGACTTTCTTAGCTTGTAATGTAGGCTCAGGATCATGTGTGGTACATTTGGGTACTTTTTAGTGATTTTCTGCCCTCCTTGACATTACATTGACTTTTTACCTATTTTCTCAACCTATTTTTGACATCCTTTCATTTTACTTTCTTTCCCTTGACTTTTTTCAATATAGATGTGACCTTTGACTTTTTAGCTCATATTTTTCTTCTTTTCTTCTTTTTCTTTCTCTTTATTGTTCTTTATTTCTTTAAGCACTTTTGTAATTCATCTTTTATTTCTTTTGCACAAAGTCACATCTTTTCTTTTTCATATATCTCTTCAACAAAAAACTCTTTTCATACCCTTTTTCTTTCAGTTTCCTTTATTATAGCCACCCTTAACTTATGTATTTTTTATGAGTTAAGGTGCACAATATCTGAAGTTGGACCAGGGCCAAGATCAAGGTAACTTTTTGAATTAGCCACCCTCAACTTAGGCTTTTGGCCTAAGTCAAGGTGCACATGTCCAAGGAGGGACCGGGCCAAGACAATTATTTTAGGGAAGGTGAGTTAGGTGAATCAAAAGAAATGGTCTATTTTAGGCTCAAACATTTGGATCAAAGGGAACATTGATTTCATTTGGTTAGATCATTTTAGGCTTAAGTGGACTAATTTGAACAAGGGCCTATGATCACTTTCCAACTTCTTGCCTAGATCATCTTAGCAGGACCAACGGGGCAAGTTCTAGTTTGGCACATACTGTCTGAAAATTCAACTTTCCTCACACACTCTTGGCACATTATTTCATTATCAGATTATCAGATTACCCAGTTCAAGTTTAGCTTAAGTCATGAAGTCAAATCGGTTCCTATCATGTCACATTGAGATCCAGCATATTCGACTAATCAAGGCTACAAATCTAGCACAGTTTTTTTCATGCTTTGTATGCCATCACGCTTTCATTTTTCTACTTACTCCTACACATACATTACCGAACATGCCAGTTCAACATAATTTAAAATAGTCTCTTGGGGGAATAAAACATAGGCAATAAAACTCAAAAGAGGATTATGAGTTGAGTTACTCAGACTTCACCCTATCACTCACAATCCATTTACCCCACCCCCAACAAAATAAAGTGCAATTGTCCCCAATGCACAAAAAAATAAATAGTAAAGGATCGGGTAAAGCAAACCTGTGGAGCATATGCGCCGAAGACCACTCAAGAAGCGAGTGGGTTCGGTTTCCCGGTGCCTGCTGGATCAAAACTTAGAACTCCATTAGTAGCGCTCCCATCAACTATCCCAGAACTCTGAGTAGTGCTCTTATCAACTCTCTCAACACCATCAGTAGTTCTTACTATGACGGATGGGCCAACACCTACCTCCATCAACTATGGATGCCCTCCGAGCCTCCTCAGTCTGCTGTTGCTCCTTATTTCTCAATCTATAGGCCTTAGCATCATCAGAAGTACGACTGGAGCGGGGCCACTTCCCAGCAGCACGGGAAGAGTCTGGTGGTGGCATTGAATTGCCAAACAATGCATATATCACCACAGTTTCAACCCCCTCTGTAGGGGTAGCCTCTGGTGCAGAGTCGGGAGGGGACAAGAGGGAGTCCAGATCGGCGCGAAGGCTGGCCAAATCCGCATGGAAGGTAGATAGATCAATGGTCGGGGCCGGCTTCTCAAGACTCACAACTCGAACACATCTAGGCGCTTATGAACGACCTGATTCTTTTGGTCCATGAGCTGCTCCATCCTTGCCTTGGACTTCTTAATGAGCGTTGCATCCACGGCCTAATGTGTTGTAGTAGTGTGTCCATCTGCGTCTCCAGCTTCACAACTCGAGCTAGAGGGATGGCGGAGGACCCTGACGAGGGAGTGGCTCTGGATGAGCTAGGAGCCTAACTGACGGCTGGTGATGGAGGCACCTGGGAATCTGCTGTAGTGGCTGGAGGGGCAGGGTCATCAACCTGCATCTTCTCCACATCTGCTACAAGATCATCTCCCAATGGTAGCACCTCAACCTGTGGCTCCTTGTGAGGGGAAACTACATTGGCCTCATCTCGAATCAGGCCGATATGCAGAGTCTTGGTTTCCTGAAGCAACCGGTCACAATGCCAGACTGGGACAACAACATCCCCGTAAAGCTGGAAGATGAGGCAAGGGAATGGCAGGGTAGCGGTGAACTTGAAGGCCCTCTCATGAATCTCCGCAATCAACATGTGGAAAAAATTCTACCTCAAGCCCTGCTACCATAGTTGCAACCATAACCAATTGGTCTCATGTGAGCACATTATCCGCCTGAGTAGAGGACACACGGTTACGCACAAGCAACCAGAAAAATTTAGCAGCAAAAGTCAAGGTCGTCTCCTTCTTGATACCCAAGCTCGGGGTCTGGACCCACTCGACGCGCTCTCCATTAGTAGCAAGATGTCGGGCCAGCCATCTCACAAGGGACTCCCTCTGCTCAGCATTCCGCTTAAATGCTCCGCTCTGAATAATGCCCATCTGATAGTTGAACTCTGCTATATTGATGGGCAGAGTGTGGTTCGGGCCATAGATGAACCTGCGGAGAGTGGTCTCGAAGATGTCAACAGTGAACCACCGTACGCTTGTGGCCTCAAGTGGAGGCTGTGCTGCGGGTTTGTCCCACTTAGAGATGGACCCTCTGATGGTGGCGACATAGGAATCGTAGAACTCTCATATAATCTCCTCTCTATAGGACCTTGGACTACGTGCCATCCATTCATACCTGTGCCTCTGAAAAAGATCGTGGATGACCGCAGCAGTGTGGAGGCTACCTGTGAGAACCCGACGGTCCTCTGTGACTAATCGGGAAATCTTATATTGCTCATTTAGTTAGCAAGAATCTGTGTAAATCTGAAATTAGCCTTCCACACACCACCGGTTAGGCTCCGTAGCAACAGTTGGTGGCTTAGTACTAGGGGGTACTAGAGTATCTCCTGTGCTATTAGACTGGGAAGACGAGGCGGTGCTATCATTAGAGCTCAAGCCGAATGGTGACTTAGAGTCAACCGACGAACCGATCGGTGGGGCCCCCTCCTCAGACTGGGGGGTAGTGACCACGCCAGGAATCACAAGCTGGGCTCGATTCCTCGTAGTGCGAGGTGATGTAGGGGAGGTCCTGATGTTGAGATGAACATACTTAGTGTCCTCCTCAATGATCATACGTCGCGAATGAGCGACAAATTTCGATTTTCCAATAGCGGCATAGGTCGGAGTTTGCTTGGGTGCTATTGTACCTCTGGAAGCTTAGTTAGTACCAAAACAAGCAAATAAGACATTTGGAAATTTTTTAGAACAAGAAACGAACCAAAATAAAAAATTAAAAGAAAATTGAGTAGTAGCTAAACTTTTGACCCATGTGGGTACCTACGGTCTATCGAGGGATAGATGGTCCGTAGGTCACCTCCGTAGGTCAGAATACCCAAAATTGGGTCTTTGATGTGGGAACCACGGATGTGCAGAACGGTCCATCGATGGAACGACGGACCGTAGTCCACATCGTGGTTCGACACTTAGCATAAACTTTTGTGTGCTACTTGCCAACAGACTCGACCTATGGCTCGTAGATGGGGTTTCGTGGGTCAGTCTGTGCTAGGTTTTCAAATGGTTCATTTCTTGCATTCATTTTCTTTCAACAAATACAAACAAATTAGGCCTACACATGCATTTTAACAAGTAATTTGGTAGTTAATCATCATTAGGGTTCCAATTTCATAGAATTTTACAGATTATCACAACAAAACCTATGAACACTAAGTCAAAACTTCCATTTCGGCCTATTAACTTGGATAATTTGGTTTTAATGAACTACCCACTCACATACCATCATACCAAGGGTGGTTTTAGCATACAATTTAATATTCAAACACGAAATTAACAACCTAAGGTCAAGTTCCAACTTCGTGAGTTCATGATACAAACAATGAACAGTGAACTCAAAGTTAGGGTGAAGTAGTTTACCTTTCGAGTAATCGAAGTGGGTGAGTGTGATGATGCAATAGACTCATTTATACCTTTTGCTAGCCCTTTGACACTGAACCCGAACTTCTAGAATAGTTGGGGAATGGAGATGAGGGATTTGGAAGAGAAAAGGATGATTTGGGAATTGGGGAAGTGAATGGGGACTGGATTTGTGGGATATTGTGATTAAATGGAGTGATTATGGGAGAGAAAGGGTTTAAAAACGGTTGGGAGGGAGTTTTGAATATGGGGAATGAATTAAAAATGAAAGGTTTTATTTTATAAGGTTGATGTTTGCGTAATCAAGACACAACTTCTAATGCAAGTGTCTACGATCGTACAATAGTTTAGTAACCCAACCAAGGGTTGGGATCGTTCCCAAGAGAGTGGGAGCAAGAATTAGTGGTTAAGTGCGAAAGTGCTAAAGCTAACCATAGCTAAAGACTTTAGCGAATGAACACATAACAAATTAAAAAGGGCGAAGCAAGCGTCAAGTATTAAATGGAGGTTTGTAAGCAAGAAACAACTAAAACAAGGAAAAATACAAGTATAGAGATAGGATTCTTGGGATGTGATAGGAATACGGGATAGACTAAATCATTGGGTACATGCTTTTGATAGTAAATTCAATGAGTATTTGTGACTAGGCTAGACTTTAAAGGGTATAAGCTCAAATAGTAAATTCAAATGCGTTTCTCTCGGACACCCACTTACCGCATGAAGACCAGCCTATGCCTTAACCCACTCACTCTCTCGAGTTGAGTGTGTCGACATGGGACTAGGGTTCGCTCTCTCGAGTTGAACCTCATGTTGACCCACTCACATTGGCCATAAATTTAGTGGTCTTAGTTTTACGACCTCTCTCTCGAGCAAACCGAAAACACATATATGAGATTATATTTGCAACTACAACCTCATTAAGTTCATCCACAGCCACTAAAATAAATCACATTTAAACTACAAATAGACTATCAACAAGAAAGACCCAACAACTAATCTAACCCATATTCACAAAATCACACCCCAAGAATTGGGATTTTAGCTACGCATGTAAAAGAGATAAAGACGTATACCAATATCAGTTTCCATTAATGGGTATGCAAGATTAAGTCTTAAAACAAGCCAAAAGTGAAGAATCCAAGAGACCCTATTCCAATTTCTTGAAGATGAAACCCTTGAAAGCTCCAAGTTCTTCAAAACCCTCTCCAAAACATAGAGAGAATATCTCCAAAACTCTGTCGCAAACTTAATAATCTAAAAACTAGATAAAATAAGGTAAAATTCGCTCCTAAGAATAAAAACTGAACTAGTATAGTTTTCAGAAAATGTGCTCCGAAGGATCTTTCGGCGACGTTAGTCGGGATCGCCGATGCACTCGGCGATCCGCCCTTTGGTCTACTTTGTTGCCCTTCATCATTTGCCTTCAACATCTTTATGTCCTGGATCATTAGGCAATGTAGAACTGCTTCGCGGAGTCGCTCGGCGAAACGCCGACTGCTTCTTTCCATTGCCGATTTGCTCCTTTCCTTCAGGGCTTAGTGCACTGGAACAAAAGGCGAATATGCGATCTATTGGCGGTTCGCCGAATGGGTTCGGCGATTCAAAGATCTTCATTTCTACGTTCTTTTAGCTTCTTTTGCTCCATTTTGCTTGATAGTGTCCATGCTTACCCTCAAATTTCAAATACCTGAAACTTAATGGTTTTCATCAGATATCGAGATTAAACATGCATTTGAGGACACTAATTTCATCAAAATATAGCCCTAAATGAGTCCAAATCACGGACACATCAAAGGTGTCCGGGTCGGGTGGGGCAAACCCTAGTTTTTGGACCCACGAGACCCCGTCGACGGTCGGTGGGTTGACCTACGGACCATAGGTCACTCTGAACTAAGAATTTTTAGAAAGCTTACCTGGGTCTACGGACGCCATTCACGGTCCGTGGATGGACCCACAGACCGTCGATGGGTCCGTAGACCACTGCACAACTATTTTTCTATAGATTTTGCCTTTAGCCCCTGCACACGTAGCAACCATTAGGACTTTCTTTTTAAATTTTATGGACACTTTTTAGACACGGACCCTATTCTATATATAGCCAACACTAATGCACAAATAAAACACCTATCTAAAGAGTTATATAATTTAAAATAAAAGAAGAAAACTCCTAAATTGAAAAGAAAAAACCTATAGTTGGCTAGATTGTACATCTTGGGTTGCCTCCCAAGCAACGCTTGATTTAACGTCACGGCACGACGGAGGCCTCTTGATTACTCAGACTTCATCAAGATAATAAGCCTCAATCACTTCTTGCACACTCTCCAATTTCCCCATGTAGACTTTGGTCCTCTGCCCCTTCACTTTGAACCTTGTTCCCTCCTTGTTCTCGAGCTCGACCGCTCCATGTGGAAACACTTGAGTGACTTTGAATGGCCCGGTCCACATGGACTTGAGCTTTCCAGGAAACAATCTTAACCTTGAATTGAATAAAAGCACCAGATCACCCACAACAAATTCACATTTTTCAATCTTTTGATCATGATACTTTTTTATCCTCTCCTTGTACAAGGCTTAACTTTCATAAGCGTTTAGGGGAAACTCGTCAAGCTCATTCATGTCATTCACTCTTTGACTCGATGCGGCGCCACAATCTAAATTCAACTTCTTTAGCGCCCACATAGCCTTGTGCTCTAGCTCTACCGGCAAATGGCATGACTTCCCATATACAAGTTGGTAGGGGGACATACCTATGGGAGTCTTGAATGCGGTGCGATAGGCCCATAGAGCATCATCAAGACTCCTTGACCAATCAATTCTATTGGCATTCACATTCTTTGCAAGGATTTGCTTTATCTCTTTGTTTGACACTTCAACTTGCCTACTAGACTGGGAATGGTAAGGAGTGGCTACATTTTGACGGACTCCATATTTCTCTAGCAACGCCTAGAACAACTTATTTCAAAAGTGGAAACCTCCATCACTGATAATTGCCCTAGGTGTACCAAATCTGGAGAAGACATTTTTTTCAGGAATGCGGTGACACTTTTACCCTCATTGTTTGAAAGAGCAATTGCTTCCACCTATTTCGACACATAATCAACCGCAACAAAAATATACTCCATCCCATGTGAACTCACAAATGGACCCATAAAGTCAAGGCCCCAAACATCAAACAACTCAATCACCAATATCAGATTCATAGGTAGCTCTTGCCTCTTTGAAATTCCTCCTTCTCTTTGGCAACGATCACAAAACTTGGCGAAATCATGAGCATTTTGGTGGATGGTATGCCAGTAACACCCACACTGCAAGATTTTATGAGTAGTCCGAATACCACTATGATGCCCACCAACAGGCGATGAATGGCACACCTCTAGTATACTCATCATCTCAACCTCGGGCACATAACGACGAATAATCCCATTAGTACAAATACGAAACAAGTAAGGCTCATCCCAAAAGAACTTCTTCACATCATGCATGAACTTTTTCCTTTGATGGAATGAAAAATCCGATGGCACCAAATCACTTGCCAAGTAATTAGCAAAATATGCGAACCAAGGAATAAGATCATGAGAAGCAACCAAAACCTGTTCGTCTGGGAATGCATCATTAATTTCAGCCTCATCACCTAGCTTGAGCATAACTTCCTCCTCTAATCTGGACAAATGATCGACAACTTGATTTCTTGTCCCCTTTTTATATTTCACTTCAAAATCAAACTCTTGCAGCAACAATACCCATCTAATCAACCTCGGGTTTGCATCCTTTTTAGCCATCAGATACTTTAATGCAGAATGGTCAGTCTATGACCTTAGTACCAAGAAAGTAGGATAGAAATTTGTCAAATGTGAAAACCACATCAAGGAGTTCTTGTTCAGTCACCATATAGTTCTTTTGAGCTATGTTCAGAGCTTTGCTGGAATAATAGATCGGATGGAGAATCTTCTCTCGACTCTTTCCCAATACCACACCAAGTGCCACTCCTCTTGCATCACACATCACTTCAAACGGTTGCCCCCAATCCTGTGAAATAATGATAGGTGCGGAAACTAGCTTTGCTTTCAACTCTCCAAATGCTCTCAGACAAGTATCATCAAAATCAAACTTACACTCTTTTTCGAGCAATTTGCACAATGGGTGTGCAATGAACCTTCTATAAAAGCCTACATGCCCAAGAAAACTTCTAATACCTTTAACAGAGATATGTGGTGGAAGCTTTTATATTACCTCGACTTTAGCTCTATCAACCTCAATTCCCTTCACAAAAATCCGATGACCCAGAACTATCCCCGCTTTCACCATGAAGTGTCACTTTTCCCAATTGAGCACAAGATTGCACTCTTCAGACCGTTTCAGTACCTCGGACAAATGCATCAGACAACCATCAAATGAGTCACCTACCACATAGAAATCATCCATAAATACCTTAATAGTGTCCTCCACCATATATGAAAATATCGACTTCATGCAACACTGGAAGGTTACTGGAACATTACACAACCCAAATGGCATCCATTTGAAGGTGAAAGTCCCATAAGGGCAAGTAAACCTGGTTTTCTCTTGGTCTTCCAGAGCTGTAGAGATCTGATTGTAGCCCGAATAACCATCAAGAAAGCAATACCAACCCTTACCAATAAGGAGATCCAACATCTGATCCATGAACGACATAGGGAAGTGGTCCTTTTCTGTCCAAGCATTCAATTTCTGGTAGTCCATGTATACTCTCCATCCAGTCACTAGCCGCATTGGAGCAAGCTCGTTTTTCGCATTAGGAACCACAGTAATCCCACCTTTCTTAGGCACACACTGAATAAGACAGACCCAACTACTATCTGCAATGGGGTATATAACTCCATCAGCCAACCACTTGATGATTTCCTTTTTCACTACCTCTTGCATAGGAAAATTTAGTCTCCTTTGGTGCTCGATACTAGGCTTGCTGTCCGACATGAGTTTGATTTTATGAGAACAAATGCCAGGAGGAATCCCAATAATGTCCACAATAGTCTACCTTATAGCCCGCTTGAACCTCTTCAACACAGAAACCAATGCCTCAACTTGCACCTCACTCAAATCGGCCACAATGATGATCGGTAAAGTACCATCTCTCCCCAAGAAAAGATACCTCAAATGCGATGGTAGAGCCTTGAGCTCCAATTTTGGAGCCTTCTCAACAGACGATTTTGTGGGTAGAGAGTCGCGATTCTTCATATCTAGCTCCAATTTCTTTGGTTCGAAATATAATTCAAACCTATCAAGTGCGGCAACTAATTCATTATAGTCTTCATTAGCATCACCCTCAAAATTCACCATTACCGCTGCCAGTGCATCCACACCCAACATCTCTTCAATAGACACATCATAACCTCGCTCCACAATATGATTCACCATTGATACTAACTTGAGATCCCTTTCCTGCTTCATAGACCTATAGACATTGAAAGTTACCTCTTCGTTTTTCAATCAGAACTTCATCTTCCCTCTCTCCATATCGCCCAAGGCACGCCCAGTAGTAAGAAATGGTCTCCCTAGGAAGATGGGAACCTCAAAATCAACCTCACAGTCAAGTATCACCAAATCCATCTAAAAAATAAATGACTCCACTTTCACGATGACATCTTGGAGAACACCAATGTGCTTCTTCACAGTTCCATCGGTCATGAGTAGTCGCATCAGAGTCAAATTTGGAGCCCCTAAACCCAACTTTTTGTAGATAGACAATGACATCAGATTAATGCTAGCACCCAAATCACACAACACCTTCACAAAATACAACAACCCAATGGTACAAGGAATAGTGAAAACATCAGGATCTTCTTTCTTCTGCACAAGTGACCTAGTAGCAATAGCATTGCAATGTTGCAACCTCTCATCGTTCTCAAAGCTAACGACCCTCTTTTTGGTCACCAAATCCTTCATAAACTTCGCATACCCAGGAATTTTCTCCAAAGCCTCTATCAACAGAACATTGATGGAAATTTGTTTCAACATAGTAATGAACCTACTGTATTTTCCTTCCTCAGTCTTCTACACTAATTTCTGTGGGAATGGCGGTGGTGGTCTAAGAATAGGAATAACTTTTTGGGTCACCTCCACTTCCTTTTCTGTAGCATTCTTGGACTCTCCAGTAACCCCAATCTCATAATCATATTTTTGTTCCACGAATTCAACCTTAGACGACATAGGGGGATCAATGGTATGTTTACCTCCTCGAGTGGTGACTGCCATACAATACTCATCATTCTTTGGATTCTGGATGGTGTTGCTAGGAAGTGTGCCAGGATGACGTGGATTTACTGTAGTGGACAGCTGATTCATCTGCTGCTCAAGTTGCTTGATCGACACTGCATGGGCATAAACTTTTTGACCGATTCCAGACAAGTCGCTTTGCATCTCTTTC